CACGCAATGCCCTGGAATCTGGATGCTACTGGAGCAGCGCTCCCCTCCTGCTCGGTTAGGAGCTGGGCATTACTGCCGCCGCCCAGATTCAAGGCAGAGAGAGCCTCCTGCGGAGCTACCCAGCGGCGAGGAGGCCACTGCCTGCTGCATGGTCATCCGAAACACGGGAGAGTCGGGTGGGGAAGGGCCCAGTACTGCTCACTCTCAGCATCCCTACCCCATGCCCTTAGTGAGTGCCCCTCACCCTCAGTCACTGCCCCTCCCCCCGGCCCCAACGGAAGGAATCTCCTCCACAAGGCTCTGCCCCCACCAGGCCCTCCGGGGAGCCACCCACACGGCCCCCTCAGGCTGGGGGCAGCCGAGCAGGCTTCCCTCCGGCGACCGCTCCTCGGGGCCTCAGGCGGGGAGCTCTGCCTCACCCCGGGGCTTTCTGCGCCCGTAAGAGACTTGGAACAGGAGCCGCCGCCGCCGCCGCCGCCCCCGCCCCCACCCCCACCCCCACCCCACAGAGGCGCCTACTAAGACTCCCCCCAGTCCACCCGCCACGCACCTGTCAGACCCGCCTCAGCACATTTAACTGAGCCCCGGGCTTGGCGCTGCAGAACGCCCCCTCTCTCTCATTGGCTCCCGAAGGCCAGCGAGGGAGCCTCGTTGGATTTCGCTTTGTCAATCACGGGAGTGGCCAATAGAAAGCCATCTTTGTCTTAAACCCGCCTCTATGCCCGGACGTGCGCGCATGTGCGCTCCGAGAGGGCCGGCCCGCGTGCGGGTGGGGTGGGGGCTCACTGTGTTGACATCATCGCTGTGCGCTGAGTCGGGACAGCCGGGCTCTCCGCTTCCGGAGTGGGAGGGGCCCCAGGAACTTGGCTCCTCCCAGCCGTTGGAGTCAGCCGCGTGTCTTCCCCGCAACGCTCCTCTCGTTCCCCCTCCCACCCCACGCCTCCCAAACCACGTGCCACAGCGCTGCCCTGGGGTGGGTGCTGCTGCCTCAGCGCGCACGCTCTCCTGCGGCCCCAGTGACACGTGCCTCTGGCTCAGGCTGCTATTCTTTAGCCTGGAGCCCGTGTTGGGCAATGGACGGGAGATGCTGTCTGGACAGTGGCTGGTTTAAGCGCTTCTCTCAGGAGGAGTCGGGACCAAGAAAGAGCAAGTTGCCCTTAATAGGCCTGAAGACCAGCTCTGTATAGTGCATAAGCGTGTCTCTCACACCAATAGAAGTTGGTCCAGTAAAAGATTACCTCACCCACCTTGTCTAGACATATTTAGGTGTGCACCCCATCCCTCTTGCTGCAACCTCCCAACCTTAATCAGCCTGCAGCTCTGCCCTGCTTGTGTGTGACGAGAGGAGAGAGCTCACTGAGTCTATAGTTTGTAGTCTAATATTTGCTGCCACCTTGTAAATGATAAAAGTACTGTAGTACATATGTTTCCGTGAACCTTAGGCAAAGTTGTCCATGGGAAGCTATAAGCTTACGATCCACATGTGGACACAGATGCATTTTCATCCATGAAACGCAGCTCTGCCACAGGCTCCCTCACAACCAGTGAATATGGAACTGAGAAATTAGCTGTTAAATAAATGCATCAACTCATTTTTAATCTGTAGGTTGTAATATTTGATATTTGAAACCGTTACAGTGTTGGTAAATTGTTTGGGCACACAGGAAACAGAAACAGATGCTGTGGCCTGAGTGAATGAGTATATACCTCTTAGGATACTAGTACAAATACTTGTTTACAAAGTTTTGCTTTCCATAGATATTCTCCACTATTTATTTATTCACCAATATTTTCTGTTTCCACAATCATTCCTCTCAGAAAGCTCATTTGCTAGAATAATATAAAACAATACAAAAAGGAGCATGAATTTGTTTTCACATTTGAATAAATGGTCAAGGAACACTTTTTGCCATGGTATGTATATATACTAAATAGAAAAATACAAGATGAGCCCTACCTCGATTATAATATGGTTGAAATTTCCAAGGGTGTCATATTCTAGAGTTTCAGGGGGTAGCCATGTTGTATCAATAAAAACCAATGAGGAGTCCTTGTGGCACTTTAGAGACTAACAAATTTATTTGGGCATAAGCTTTTGTGGGCTATAACCCACTTCATCAGATGTATGGAGTGGAAAATACAGTAAGCAGGTATAAATATACAGCACATGGAAGGATGGGAGTGACTGGGTCACTACAAAAAGTAATTTCCCCTCTGTTGATATTCACCCCTTCTTGTCAACTATTGGGAATGGGCCACATCCACCCTAATTGAATTGGCCTTGTTAGCACTGACCCCCACCCTCCCAACTTGGTAAGGCAACTCCCATCTTTTCATGTGCTGTATAATTTATACCTGTTTACTGTATTTTCCACTCCATGTATCTGATGAAGTGGGTTATAGCCCACAAAAGCTTATGCCCAAATAAATGTTAGTCTCTAAGCTGCTACAAGGACTCCTCATTGGTTTTCATATTCTAGAGTTGTGATTTAAGTAGCAACAAATATTTCATTAAAAAGAACAGGAGTACTTGTGGCACCTTAGAGACTAACAAATTTATTAGAGCATAAGCTTTCGTGGGCTACAACCCACTTCTATATGCATCCGAAGAAGTGGGTTGTAGCCCACGAAAGCTTATGCTCTAATAAATTTGTTAGTCTCTAAGGTGCCACAAGTACTCCTGTTCTTTTTGCGGATACAGACTAACAGGGCTGCTACTCTGAAATATTTCATTGTGGGTCCTGTTGTGACATCCTGTGGTGAAATGTGGTATTACAGACAATGAAATCACTTCCAATTTAGTTAGATAGTGTCACTTGGTTCCAACATAGAAGCAGTTTCTCCACCTATGAAACTGGCTTCCCTAGGGAAGTTTCCTAGGAAAATGGTGAGGAGGAGAGGGTGGAGGATTTTAAATGCATATGGTACCTTTCATCCTGAATGATTAAAGATACTTTTTAAACAAACTGATTATGGAGGCATGGGAGCAACACCCTAATTAGGGTTCTAGCAGGATTTCTGTTTAAAGCCAACTCTAAAATCCATTGGCAGAGGGCCTTGAAAATTGCTGTACTCCTTAAAGGCACAGGGCCTGTTGTGGTACAACTCTGAAGGTCATTTAGTCAAAGGGGTCCCATGGTAGCATTTTCCCTCAAAGAGGAATTGACCACCACATCCATCCTATCAAAAGCTACCATTCTCTCTTCATCCACCACATTCTAACTCAAAACTGGGGAAACATATTGCTAGTTTGTAGATATTGGATTGGACAAAAAGGCTCAAAGAGGACTAAGTGCTACAATCGCCCTGACCAACTCCTCAGAACAAGGATCTAAAGGGAGCAGAGTGGACATTGTTTAAAACCAGGAAATGCAATGGTAAGGTGACAATGCCTTAGTTACAAGACTAAAATTGTGTAACTCCTACATTCTTATAAAGGGATCTTAACTCCACTTTTCCTATGCATTCTGAGAATTAAACTCAGTCTAGAGGGATACTATAAGTATAGGAGATTGATGATCACCTACACTGTTAGCTTCCCTAGTAATAGAAGTTATTGTGTGTGAACACAACAAATATAGGCATCCCTTTATGCTTCACTGCTGCCTCTGGAGCAAAAGACTACAACTTTTAAAACAGAAACCATTATTCCTAGTATTGGTTCAGAAGTTTGTGCTGTGAGCTTTCTCTTTCGCAAGCTAAGCAAGATTGAATATGAACTCATTGTAGCTAGTGGTGATTCAGGAGATTGGAATCTGCCTCTATTAGTTCTAAACCAATGCTCCAGCAGAATAGTAGAGGGTCACAGGCTGTTAGTGGAAATGGTATTGTTCTAATGAGACATGAAATTGAGGTCCTGACCACCTGGCATCAAATTTAGATGAGTGGCCTGCTTAGAGTTCAGGTAGTTACATTCTTGGTCAACACTGAGCCCTGTCCAGCTCATCTGAAACACTATTTTCAATCCCTAAGCAAAACTGCTATATATTGTTGAAAGTTGGTGACTAGCTACTTAAGGACTTTAGTTTTTCATTTGAAAATGTGGCATAATTTGTTTATAAGAGCACTGCATATGCTACAGGGGGTGGGGGGAGAGGATACAAATGCAGCTCTTCCCATCATATTAAGCAAACAAATAAACCTCTCACTCCTCTTATAAGCACAGCTATATTTCCTCTTGCACAAAGTAAGAAGATTGAACTTTGTAGGACATCCTGAAGATGATTCATATTTCTAAGTACAGGACAAGTGAGTTCTAGAAATGAGTTCTGCTCATACACCTCTGTTGAGCAGCATCCCATAGGGAGTCCCTCAGACAGTTGATGGTAGATACCTGACTTAGTAACGCCACAGCTGGAGTTTACTTTAAACTGCACCCTACAGCCAATACAGATGGATCAGGTGACATGATCATACTATACCCTGCTTAACTACAGCTTGTTCCAAATGGATTTCAGATGTGCAGTGGTCCAGGCTTGGGGGTGTGGTATTAGTAGTAACAGCAGCGTTTTGTTCACTACTTTAGTGTATCCTTTTGCTATAGGCATACAGAGGTTTCCTTCTTCCTCAATTTCCATGCTGTTTGGTTTTACAAGGAGAAGACGCTTGCTATTCTATTAGGACTGAGGTATTCTAAATACAGAGAACAGAACATATAGCTTCCAATAAATTGCTTTTCCTTTTTGTAAAGGACAGTAAAGAGATTAAGATAAAATAATTTATAGTTTATTTGTACTGTAGAAAAATATGCACATGCTTTAGACAATAAATTTACATTAGTTTAAAGGAGAATTTCATCCAGCCATTAGGACTGCCTCAGCTCATCAGCATCTGAAAGAACAGAATAAATTACAGATTTAGGCTCAAGTCCTGCAGCGATCAACCCTAACAAGGAAGGTTTGAATAGCTATTTAAGTGTTGAAATAGTCTGATGCCTGAACTAATGACACTAGTGACCCAATAATGAGTTCTTATATCTTGACCAGGTCAAGTGCTGGACAGAGTCAGCTACTAGGTCATTGTAATAAGTAGGAATTTGAAGACTGTACATTTATCCACTATGCAGAGATTGTTTGGTCACTGTGGCAATTAGCCATGTCTTGGACTGTTATATGCCCCTCCTTTACACACCTGGCATTGCTCACATGTCAACTGGCAACTATAATAAAAGTTATAAGGAAGGCGTGCCAATGGCAGTTTCTACATCCTGTAGACACAAGGCTCTGATTTATGTCATCTTGTTTTGCTAATCTCATAACCACACTTCAGTTTATACCTGTTGCGCTGAAGATACCAGTTAGAAGACCTCTTGTTTGATCCAGCTGGCCTGAAGTTGGATTCAGATGCTCTCATTATAGCTGCAGATCTACAAGGAAATAGAACCATGCTGAACATCTGTTTATTCCACCACCAATCACACATCCATCCACTTCCAGATTTGTGGAGAACTGGTCACCCAGCTGCTCTAGAATCCTATTGCATGGAGCAAGGAAGGTAGCTGTGCCTAGAAGAGACATGTTACTCATTAGAAAGGCTCAAGTTTATACTCATTGTTTCCTACAGTAACACTTGGATACTAAGGGAATTGGTGCCTTAGAGAAGTCAGAAATTCAGTAGAAGTTAGTCTGATTCAAAAGGCTCACCACTAGAAAAGTCAGTCATCCTTTCCTTCCAAAGGAATTCTTAAATTGCGGGACTAAAGATTAACTTCTGGGAGCAAGGGCTTTAAGATTAAAAGAGCATAATACTTCAGTGAGATGCTGACCAACTGTGTCCTCCCAGAGATCATTTGAGAACTCATTTAGCTGCAAGTTGCAGAGATAATGGTAGGATCTCCCCTCGCTCTGGCAATTGCTTTCCTACCTCAGCCTGTTTCCCCCCACACTCTGAAATTTAACATCCTTACCCAGCTTTGGAGATGGAGCTACCTGCCCCTTTGCAGTCATGATCCAGAGGATGCCGATGTTTTATACAGAAGTTTCCATGGCATTGGTTACAAACAAGCTTCATCATCTCTTTCCGTTTGCAGCCTTCTTTTAAGCACTTATTTGTGAAAATCTAAAATGTAGTACAGGACAGTTGCTTTAGTTCAAGCAGCAAATACTTCACACATTACTTGCAAATTAATTTTCTAATCTGATCAAGATGGCATGCAGGCCTCTAAATTGGATTTACCTGAAATTTAGAGAGCAGTTTGAATTAGAATAAGATTGTTCCAACTCCTTGAATTCAGAGGAAAATATTCTATACTGCTTACTGGGCAAAATATAACCATAGTGCAGAGCAAGAGTGACAGTTTCTGGTCTTGGCAATAATACCAGTTAGTGCTTGCTAAGTCAGAGGTACTAGATTGTTTGGGTACTCAACGCCTTTAGCTTGCTCACCAGTTCAAACCCAACTGGTCAGGAAAGGCTGATGAACAGATCGAATCACTGTTTGCTGGTCCACAGTGTAGATGGTTCTCTACCACTAATTGGACTAATGCTCAGATCTTGATCAGTAGTCAGGCAAAGAATTATGAGTGTAGGGATCTCTTCTAGGAGTCTTCCAGAGGAAGCCTGAGGCCTAGTGTCAGCACAGGCAAGTGAGCTTGCATTGCTGCTGCCTGTGTCATACTGTTGTGCAGTTAGGAGGCTTGTCTCCATAAGCATCAATTTAAATTTCAAAGGGAGTTTCCTTACCCTCTGTTTCTGCTGAGTAGGATCATATTTGCAGTCCCTGTCCATGTGTGCTCCAACTACAATGTCTGGCATCTCTCCTCTTCTCACTGGGATGGGAGTGTTACATAAAGGGCATACTGGAACCTGCACATCCTGAAGACAGTGAAGTTATCAGATTAGAAATGGGACTGAAAGCAAGATTTCAAAAAGGAAGACAACTCAGATTTCCATCCCTTGCCTTTGAAGAGGGAGAAAAAAAAAAAGTGGCCCTCCATTCCTATACCAAGTTCTCTTCAGAACTTCCAGCACATCCACTTCAGCAGTGCTGGATTCTGCATTTCCAGTTACTACAGGAAGTCCATGTCAACATCATTGTAGTTAGAGCTAGCCAGCTACAATTAAGTCCCATCTAATTTGCTTTTAGATCATGTAATTTTCAAATCTTGAACACTTTCCTTGTTGATTTGGTTTCTTCCCTAGCCCTAATTGTGCAAGTCCTTTTGTTGAGTTTCCAGGTCTGGCATACAACTATGGTTCTAGAACCACAAGCAACTGCAGCAAGAGAATACAGGTGACAAGAGTTTGAAGACTGCACAAGAACAGCACATTTGTTAACTACATTAGATGACTTGTCAAGTCAGATTCTGGACCTAGATAAGATGAAGTGTTTATTTCAAATAAGGCTGTACTTATTCTGGCCAGTAATTCTGCATTGCTAGAATGCAAATTTGAGAACTGTCTTGATAACCCAAATTCCAGTTCATACTGACCCATATTATAGCCCAATGTTATCACTAATCAGACTTTCCATCCAAATATTTTGTCATTTGCTTTTCTGTAGTTTCATGTTCATAGACTTTTTTTAAATCAAGTTAAGGTTTTGAGAAAAACCACTGAACCCTCAACTGGTAGCCACTGCATTGCTGAAGATGCAAGGTACTGTATCTGCACTCTTTATGGGAGCCCAATTTAAGTGAAGGATGCAATCAGGTTTGCTACAGCTTCGAGTTTTACCATTTGAACTTTTAAATTCAGTTGTAAACTAAATCCAAGTCTACTGCAAGCAGAAGACCCAGCAAAGCAGGCTACAAGAAACTCCTAATCAGGTTTCAAAGTTGGCTTTCATCACAGCTAGAGAATTCCTTAAGTGCAAGCATTTGGAATTACCATTAGACACTTACCTTCTTATATGAAGAGGTACATTTGTGTTGGTCATATGTGATGTGATCTTTACAGAAAACTTCCTTACATGCATCACATTTTAAAGGAAGGAAATCTGTAATAAGCAGATAACATTATATGCCTGCAAGTCCTAAATGGGGAAGATGTAGACATTTACCTTTTAAAGTAATACTAAAACAATCACTGAGTAAATTCCCCAGGCATTAAGTAGGTAATACCCAAGCAGGTGTCTGGTTACTCAGAATCCAAGACAGCTTCACATGGAACTAGTTTAGGCCATTCCAAGTTGTATATTTTAGTGAGCAACAGGGAGAAGAGCTAGCTTCTCTGAATTTGAAAGTGCTAAGGTAGCCTCATTTCTGCCTTTTAATTCACAAGTTACTTGCAAGACGTGTTAAACCACCAATACAGTGAAACAAACTGCCCCGTCCCCTCTCTCACCACCACAGCAGCTGCTAATAGTTCAGGGGGCATATTAGTCAGAGGCACCAAATACTCTCCCAGGCCTCAAGTCACAGCAGATTTGCTTTAGTTCACTTCAGTATACCCAAATACTAAAGTCTCCCAGCTGTTAGAGTGAATGGCTGAGACAGCTTATAGAAGTGTAGCATCTGCAACTATTCTTGGGGTATCCTCATGATTAATAGCAGATCTATATATAGTAACAGGAGACTCAATGCATTACAAGAAATCCAGATATTTTGACAGGCATACTGTATACCTGTCTTGCCAGAGTCCACAGCCTGAGGTGCTTCTCTGGATTCTAGGATTTCACTGATGGTTGGAGGTTTATTTCAGTTCTGGCTGTAATTCTAGACATCTCAGATGCAGATTGACAGATATCCGCAATAGTTTAGTGTAGGACAGTTTGCACTTGCTTCTTTAGTTCCTCTCTTCTCCAAGATCTGTACTGCTCTATCAGCTCATTTCAAGGCTTGTCCACAAAGACTCTCACTTCCTGTACTACTATGCTAGAGATCAGATGTGATGAGTTTAACAATCCTCAGATATGAAGGCCTTGGGATAGCAGACAGGATTTTCTGATCTCAAGTTTCTCTGCTGACCCAACAATATGACCTTTGGGACAGCATTGAAGTATTTGGTTCAGGTTGTTCCTAAGAAAGTGCTGGGAGTATTAGTTTGTGGGTAAGCAACATTAGTATTGCATACCTTGTGTAGTTAAGCAAGTATTCTAAGAGTACCGATGGGTACATTTTACTAGGACTAGAAGATATTGTCTAGTCAGACTCCTCTGGTCTTGGCAGTGAAAACAAATTCATCTCACGCCTGTTCTCTAAATCAGGAGTATCCATCTCATACCTCAAGTCAGGTTCCCCCCAGGAGGATTTGATGCACATGGCCCTTTGGCATTTATGGGTTCAGCTGATCTTATGTCAGTGCACCACTACTAGTCAGAACCAGACATGGACTTTCATTCAGTAAATCACCCCAACTTCTGGAGTACCCCTTGTCTCTAGGAGAGTTAATTTGGTTCATGCAAAGCAATCAAGAGGACTAGAGCAGATAACAGAATGTAGTAAACTAACTATACCAGTAGTTGCATTCAAAGTGCATCTTACCCAGCTGTTTGCAAGTTTTTTCTGAACAATGCTTGCCCAAGTCTGGAAACTCCATAATAGGCCAGCAGATCCTTCAAGCTCCTTGGCTACTACAGCTGTCACCTTCAAAAATGAAGTTGTGGGTTTAGTTTATTGCAGTATCAACCCAGCTTCACCTCACCCCCAGTAAACAAAGCATTTTTTTTAATCAAAGCATTTCATAGGAGCAATCTTTAGATTTGGACAGAGGACGCCCCCCGGAACTCCCCCCCCCCCCCGCTTGTCTCCGCCCTGGGCAGCGCGGGTGGGTGACCGCAGCTGTCAGCAGAGCCCTTCTCTGCCCCACTAGCCAAGGCCAACCCCGGGCACGGAGATGGGGGGGAGGCGCACTCTGAGCGCCAGGAGACAGAGGCCGCAGCCCAGCCACCGGCCCAAGCCTCACAGCAGCGCTGAAGAGAAGGGGCTGGTGCCCCGGGGGACCCACTCCAGGGATGCGTCCGCTCGCACAGAAACGCGGTCCGGCCGAGCACTCACTCACCGCACGTTCCCCGCGCTATAGCGTATCCACAACCAGCCTCGCCTCGCCGGGCCTTTTATCCAGCCCTCCCGCTGAGTCACGCTCTGCGCGGCCAATCCCATCTTTGCCGAGTCATGCCTGGCGCGTGCGGTTAATGATGACATCCGCACCCCGGACCAATCACGGTTCGCCGCTGGCGCGTTCTAAAGCGCTAAGTCAGCACGCGGCCAATCAGCGGCCTGCAACTGTGCTGAGTCAGAGGGCGGGGCTCCCGAAGGGGGGACGATGACAGTGCGGGCCTGTGTGTTCTAGAAGAGCCTGGACTAGGCAACGCCCCAGCACCCCAAGGCGGGAAGCCGGTAGGGGCAGGTCCCCCGCAGCCCATGGGGGAGTAGATCAGGGTCCCCACAGCGCTGGGGCGGGTATTGGGTAGGGGCAGGATCCCCGCAGCCCATGGGGGAGTACATCAGGGTCCCCACAGCTCTTGGGGTGGGTATCAGATAGGGGTAGGG